AGATAAATGGTGCTTCCGTGCACTGCTCTGGTTCGCCAGAAGTGGCTTAGTCATTAGAATTAATCAAGGTTTGGGGAGTTAACCTGTGCCGAGCCCTGAACTCCTGGATTCGCCGCCCTCACTGAGTTGACCCTGTGCCAATTTGCGAGGCTGGGATCTGATTTGCCTGTAAGGTAAAGGGACCCCTGACCATTAGGTCCAGTCGTGGACGACTCTGGGGTTGCGGCGCTCATCTCCCTTTACTGGCTGAGGGAGCCGGCATACAGCTTCCAGGTCATGTGGCCAGCATGACTAAGCCGCTTCTGGCGAACCAGAGCAGCGCACGGAAACGCTGTTTACCTTCCCACCAGAGTGGTACCTATTTATCTACTTGCACTTTGACGTGCTTTCGAACTGCTAGGTTGGCAGAAGCAGGGACCAAGCAACAGGAGCTCACCCCGTCACGGGGATTCGAAACACCGATCTTCTGATCAGCAAGTCCTAGGCTCTGTGGTTTAACCCACAGATTTGCCTGTATGCAGTGCTTTTTTCTAGATACAAAAAAAAGTTTGGGGGTACTCTCATTTGGACTCAAGAAAATCACCATTTTATAGTTCAAATCAGGGAAAATAAATACAGTAAATGGACAAAAGTACAAAGATTTACAAAATATTTAGGGGTATGCGTACCCCCAGAATAAAGCACTGCCTGTATGGAATTCATTGGCGAGTTGTTAGCTACAAAGTCATTTTCGGCACAGGTGGTTTTACCAAGCAGTTTATTCTGCTGGATCGTTTTGAGAGCTTTTTAAATGGTTCATTTGTTTATTATTTCAGTCTTGCTGGATTTGCCGTCCTTCAGGTGAATTGCAAAGTGTCCTGGCATTTATACAAAGGATGGTGCAGTCATCATCAACCTGAGCAAATGTGTGAGTCGAAAAGAAGTCTGGTGACTTGGAGAGTGATGAGATCCAAGACACTCTGCTGCGATGCTATCCTGCCGGACATCAGGGGGAAGGGCCTTCCTTCAGCGTGAAGGAGGCTCCAAATGGGATTGTTCATCTCCTGCCTGCGCAGAGCCTGGGAACAGGATTGGGCAGAGTGAAAAATCCCAGCCTCTGCTGGCCAATGGCATGTAAAGAGTGATAGACAGGCACAGGTTGGCCAGGGAAGTGATAAGGGGTGGCCTTGCAGCTTGCCATTTAAATCCTATCTCAGCAAGTCATGCTCTCTTTGCCTCAGGGATTAGAGAGAGTACATCTTCCAGGTTTTAAAGCAGAGAGGATTTGTCAGTGCGATATTCAGGCAAGCTTGAGTACCAGGCTCTCAGGCCCAGAAGCAGAAGCAGAAGCAGAAGCATACCTTGGGTGACCTGAAGTCAAAGAGGCAATGATGATGATGATGATGATGATGATGATGATTTATTACTTATACTCCACATATCTGGCCGGGCCTCCGCAGCCACTCTGGGCAGCTCCCAACTGAATATTAAAAACACGATCAAACAATTAAAAACTTCCCTAAACAGGGCTGCCTTCAGATGTCTTCTAAAAGTCAGATAGTTGTTTATTTCCTTGACATCTGATGGGAGGGCGTTCCACAGGGTGGGCGCCACCACCAAGAAGGCCCTCTGCCTGGTTCCCTGTAACCTCACTTTTTGCAGTGAAGGAACTGCCAGAAGGTTCTCGGAGCTGGACCTCAGTGGCAAGAGAGGGTGTCTAGCAATGGAGGCTGCCCTATTAAGGAACCTCAGCCTGTCCTCACCTGCTCCCTTCTTATCTACATCTAGTCCTGAGGGTAGCAAGGTCTGTCAGCTTCCTCTTCCTTGTTGCTCCCTGTAGAACTCTGCACTCCGCAGGAAGGAAGAGGAGGACAAAACTAGTTTAAGTTGGCTGTATCTCTCATTGATCCTGGCTCCACCTATAGTTCGCCTCCCTACCTTCTGCCTCACCTCTCTCAGTGGTGTAGCATGGGGGAGCCAGAGGATCGGTGGCCCCGGGCGCAAAATTCTGGGAAGGGTGCAACCAGGTGTCCCACATCAGGCCAAACTCCTACCACCTTCCGGAGCCATGGGGAGGACTGGGCCTTTGGTGCCTCTTCTTCGTGGTCAGTGAAGAAATGCCCCTGGTCAAATCAGGAGGTGGCAGAGTTGCCAAGCTGAGAAGGCGCACCACCAGCAGCAGTGGCAGCACCAGCTGCCATGTGCCTTGCATGCATCTCCTCCCCAGCTGCCCAATCCACTAGGATGGGGACGCTTACCCTGTTTTGAGCACCTGCAACCCACTCTACACCACTGGTCTTCTCCCAAAGGGCATCAGCCACCACTGAGGAAAGGTGGACCTAGGAACCTTTAGACCAGACAAAGGCCCCCAAGGGGTTTACTAGTGCCATCCAACTTCACAGGTCAAGAGAATTCAGGGCTGTTGTGTGAGTGTCCTAGCTGAAATACCTCTTAGCTCCATTCTCTATGAATCCAATGGCTCAGGGTTCCAAAGCTGAATTCTCATGACACCCAACGCTGAGCTCCTGACCAGAGATGGTTTTAAGGGAATGTGACTGGAGAGGTCACTTGAGGCACCATGCTGCAGGGAACACCACAACAATGCTGTAGAACAGAGCACATATCATAGTATCGTACCTACGGGACCACCTCTCCTGGTAAGTTCCCACAGAGGAACTTACGATCTTCAAACAAAAACATCTTGGAAGTCCCAGGACACAGAGAGGTTAGGCTGGCCTCAACCAGAGCCAGGGCTTTTTCGGCTGTGGCTCCGATCTGGTGGAACGCTCTGTCACAAGAGACTAGGGCCCTGTGGGACTTGACATCTTTCCACAGGGCCTGCAAGACAGAGCTGTTCCACCAAGCCTTTGGCCAGGGCACAGCCTGACTCCTTCCTTTGGCAATCTTCACAGAACTTTAGCCCAATGGTTGCCATCAATTTGATTTGAATTAATTTTATAAGGAAATGATTTTAGAATGTTGTATTATTTTATTGTTGTTAGCCGCCCTGAGCTCAGCTTCGGCTGGGGAGGGTGGAATATAAATAAAAATTTATTATTATTATTATTATTATTATGCTGAGCAACAGCGAACAGAGCTCAATGGAGTGGACTCCAGCAGTCTCTGGAGAGAGCATTTGCAGATGACTTAGTATTGACGTTACAGGAGCCAGAATCTAGTACTAAAAGGGTTTTAGAACTGATTCAAGAATTTGGTCAAGTGGCAGGATTTAAACTGAACAAGTTAAAAACTAAGGTTTTAGAGAAAAATTTAACACTGATTGAAAGAGAGAGGTTTCAGAATGAGACAGGTTTAACAGTGGTTAAGAAAGTTAAATACCTGGGGATTAACATGACAGCAAAAAATGGGAACTTATTTAAAGATAACTATGAAAAATGCTGGGCTGAAGTGAAAAAAGATTTAGAAATTTGGTCAAATTTGAAGCTTTCACTGCTGGGCCGTATTGCTGCAATAAAAATGAATGTATTGCCTAGAATGTTGTTTTTGTTTCAAACTTTGCAAATTGTGGACAGAATGGATTGTTTCAAGAGGTGGCAGAAAGATATTTCTCTGGAGGCAGAGACAGAATACAAAGTCAGGTCCCGTTCCAAGGTTGTGCAAACAGCAATCCACATGGTCAGACAGTCCAGAGGTCAGGGAACCCAATGGTCAAGGGCCATGATGAGCAGGAAGCCCAAGATAGGGCCACAAACTACTAAGCGTTGTTTGCATCATCTGCCTGCTGCTGGAAACTCTGCTTAAGAAGGCTGAAGCCAGTTGGTTCTCATGATCTCCTCCTCTGTGTCCTCAAAGGCTGATCAGCTGGAGGTGGAATCACTCTGTCTTCTTCCCTTTCAGGCAGGTGAGGCTGACTCCTGTCCCATGACAGCACGAGATGAAAGGCGTCATCAAATTTTAACGTCTCACTGGATGCGGCTGAAATTTGAGAGCCCAAAGTCAGCCACTGTCCTGAACTTTCCATTGTGGAAATTCCCTGACCATCAGACCTTCAAGGAAGTCGGGCTGTAATGTCAGGAGCTCGCCTGCCATTGTTGAAAATGCACCAGGAAGCAACTTGACAAGATTTCATCCCTTTCCACCACAGAAAGTGAAGCTGTTCAAACTGACTGCCTCCCTGCACTAGTAATGCATAATTATTCAGTAATAATGACTGCCTACTTTAAATACAGCAACATTCACAGTTGGAAAGGAGGACTCTTTCAATAGCTGTCATCCAGAGTCGGGAAACTCAGCCAGGCAAACCTTAACAACTTCAATTTTAAGCCAACACACAGCCAACGGAGGGAAGATCCCACAGAACAAACTACACAATCATTGCCTCCTTTCTCTTTGGAAAAACTGCACAAGCATCTCTTGCATTCCACTGTCCAAGCAATGCAATATTTTTTTCCTTCGCCCAAGAGGCAGGTATTATATCCCTTTTGGAGGAGGAGTTAACAGGCTGTCAATAGGCACCCAGGATTGCAGCTGCAAGACTTGGGCTGTGAAATATACACAGAGTGTATATACAAGAGTGGATTTCATGCTCTTTATGCAGCTCATAGTGGTGAGGAGGAATGGAAGTTCCCCCAGAATGTCCCCCAGAATTAGCCCCACGTGATTGGCTAATTCCGGGATTCTCCTGTAGGCCAATCAGGTTGCGGCATTCTGGATCCTATTGTTCTAGGACCAATCAGACTGCTGCATTCTGAAGCCTATTGTTCTAGGACCAATCAGACTGCTGCATTCTGAAGCCTATTGTTCTAGGATCAATCAGACTGCTGCCTTTTGGATCCTATTCAACTCAGTACATAACACCCTGGGAGAAAAGAGCCCCAGCCAAACTGCCCACAAGGTAGATACGGCTTTGCAACACAAACATTTCAGTCTCCGTTTCAAGGGAAATCAAGGCAGTCTGAGTTGCCATGTGACTCTCTGTGCAAACGCCCCACTTGCTTCCTAAGTGCTTGTTTGAATCCGAGATGGAGATGAGCTTGGGGAATCAAAGCAAAGCCAACAAGGTGATTTGATTCTTTTTAATTGTAGTTGTCTCCCCCCTCCTCCCCACTGCCAGCATTCTCAGTGATGTTGGAGTTCTTCCTCCCATTATACAGGATCCATCCGCACTGGGTTCATAATGGTCTCTCCTAACGCTTACTGCTCCCCATATGAATCATTTGAGAGCATCGTTTGATGGATGCAGAATTGTTCGAGGCTGTGTAGCCATAGCTGTACAACAGAAATTCTGCTAGTGGGGATTCCTATTCACTCTGCAGCCAGCAGTTATTCTTCCTGTAACAAGATAAAAAGCACACATATTCGTCTGACTGGCTCCTGACCTTTGCAGCATTCCCTGATGTTGTGTTTTGTGTCTCATCTTCCCTGTCATCCGTGGGTCCCTCAGCCCACTCTACATACTTAGTTTGCCGTTGCACTTATTAGTGTTACTGGTGTTCTAGATTATGGGGGGAGGGACACTCCGTAAATCCTAGATATTAATAAATGGTAGGATTTTGGTTATGGGAGAAGGGAGAAATAAAAGCTGCAGAGGAATTCCTGAGATAGCCTTAATGCAAAATGACCTGGCCAAGCTAGGGCCATTGAGGAACCATACAGGGCCACTGAGAGCCATTGGCAATGCAAAAGAACTGTCCTCTCGCCTTGACCCGAGGTGTGAACAGAGACTGGGGGTTTGGAAGGTTTCCAGGGTAGCTGGGTTTAAGGTGACAGGAAAAGAGAGCTTTATAGCAAGGTGTTCTGGGAAGAAGACGAAAGAGTGGTACACCTGATGGCATACAGGTAAAACAGGGATTTGTTTGTTCTTTGAAAAGGTCCCTATATGGTCTCAAGCAAAGTGCACGATGCTGGCACTCTAAACTCACTGACGTGTTGTTTTCTCTAGGTTTTCAGCAGGGTAAAGCCGATCCATGCTTATTTGTCAAGAGGAAGGGCAGAGGAAGCTGTATTGCTTATTTTATGTTGATTATATTCTTTTATTTTGGTAGGATGTCAAGATGTACAATAGCGCCCTAGCTCAACTGAAGGAGCACTTTGACATGAAAGATATTGGTGAGGTAACCAACTACCTATCTCTGGAAATAGAGAGAGACCAAGATGGTAATATTTTAGTACACCAGTCACAGAAAATTGCTGATGTGTTAAGCAAACTAAACCTGATGGATGCTAACCCTGTAGACACACCAATGACAACAGGTTCTCAGGTAGATGATGCTGAAGAAGCATTTTCTGACCCTACACTGTACAGAAGTGTGCTAGGCAAACTAAACTTCATTGCCAGATGTTCAAGACCTGACATTGCAGTTAGCACTAATTTGCTAAGCAGACATGTCAACAATCCTACTGTTAAGGATTGGAAAGCTCTGAAACACATAGCACGCTATTTGAAAGGCACTATGCACTACAGACTGAGATTTAACAATCAGAAGTCTGGTGGTCTTGAGATATTTGCTGATGCGAGTTTTGGAAGTGACACTACAGACAGGAAAAGCACGTCTGGAGTTTGCTACATGTACAGCCAGGGTCTATTTGATTGGTCGTGCAAGAAGCAAACAACAGATAGCTTAAGTACTTGTGAAGCTGAACTGAATGCACTGTCTTACTCACTTGTGGATTGTGAATGGTTGTTACAATTGTGTAAAGACATGTGAATTCCTGTAAAGTGTCCAATCCAGGTTTATCAGGACAACAAAGCATGTTTGGCTTTGCTGAATTCAGAAGGTTGTAAGCAAAGCATGAAGCACTTGCAATTGAAGCTGCAACATGCTAGAGAATGCGTTCAGAAAGGACTTGTAACGGTGTCCTACATGCCAGGTAATGAAATTCCTGCTGATTTATTGTCCAAGGTTGTTCCGAAGGATCAACACTGTACCTATGTACAGAAACTGGGTTTGTACTGATATTGTACTGGCACACTGCCCGGTGGTGTTCACAGAAAGGGGGAGGATGTTAGTTTCTGTGTGTTGCCACGGTGCAGTGCTCTTGGAGTCACAGGATTCTGTTTACATTCCTGGGATTCCAGACTGTTGGAAGTCTCACTGAAGACAGGAGACGGATGTGATGTTACTGGTTTCCCATTCCTTTGTTTTAGTTGCTCTCTGCTTTCACAGAGAGAGGATGTATTTTTCTGTCTGCATAGCTAGAAAATAAAGCACAGCGATGTAGCCATAAATCTCATCACTTCCGCGTGCTGCTTTGATTCTCTGCTGAAAGGGAATATGCCTGGAGCCTCAACAAAGGCTCAGGTCGTTAATCACGTTGGAGGGTGACTCCGAAAGATGAGCTTCATTAGCTCGGTCGAATGGAGATTCCAACAGGATCCATCTTAGACAGCCTGGTCGGGAGAGATGACTTAGAATCCAGGGCTACATTGCTGTGGGGGCCGATCATGACTTCCTCCATGCAGACTAAAGGTGTAAATAGGTGAATAAACCATATTTCCTAAAGCTACGACAGGCTCCACCATGTCTGAATTCTCCAAAGTAAAGCAGACCCTGGTTGAGGGCCTGGGACCCCCTTGGACTTTGCTATTGCTCAGCAGAGAGTGGGGGTGGCACCCAACTTTTGTAACACTACTATTATTAATTAACTGCCCTTCACCCAAAGGTCCCAGGATGTCAGGGACCGTGCTGAGGAGAGCTGCACTGAGTGTGCTGGTCCCGTGGGTTACCCGAGAGGCGAGGTCCAAGTCCAGTCTGTGGTCAAAGGCGCAACGTGGAGGCAGTCCGTAGTAGCTGAAGCTGGGGGCAGGGCAGAGAGTCGGGTGAAGTCAGGAGCAGGCTTGCAGGCAGGGAGCCTGGGTGGGTCAGGAGCTCTGGCAGAAAAGCAAGACAGGGTTCAGGCAGGAACTAGCAACCAACAATGTTGCTCCTGCATCTTGGGACTGCGGCTGGCCAGCTTTTATCTGCCCTGAGGCATAGGGCCGCCCCGATCCTCTGGTGACTCGCCTCTCCTGGCCTGGAGGCAAGCACTCCTCCTGCGGGAACTTAGTTCCCTCCGCCTCTCTGCCCTGAGCCTCTGCAGCTCAGGAGAGGCTGGAGGGTTACCGGACCCAGAGGCAACCTCAGCTTCCTCTGACAGGGCTGAGAGTGGAGCACCTGTATAGATTTGGGACAGTGGTTTGCAGAGGGGCATAGTTCAGAAGGCAGAAGCTGGGTAATACTGGACGGAGAACAGCTAGGAGAAGAAACACTAGAAGAGAGAGGGTTAACAGATTCACAGTCTCTGGACAGCATTCACACACACACACCCTTCTCCAAAGTCACGGAGAGCTCAGAAAGTGGCAGAACAGAAAGCACAGAGGGTACATGCTCAGATTACAAGACGTAGAAGTGACGTAGATTAATTGGGACAGAAGGGGGTGGGATCCTTAACTGGGAGTACCGCCATTTCTAGGAGATGGGTTCTTTGTTCTCTCGCAGTTTATAACTGGTAAGAAGACCCCTTTTCCTTTGTTTTGCTTATCTACTGCCACGGGTGAAGAAGCCAATTCCCTGAAGCCTGACACAGACTGGGTTACAGAATTGAAACACAATACATGATTCAGCTTTTCCCAGTCTGGTGCCCTCCTGCTGTTTTGGACTACAACTCCCAACAGCCTCAGCTAGCAAGGTCAATGGTCAGGGATGGTGGTGTTTGTAGTCCACCATCAGCAGCGTCTGGAGAGTCCCTGGCTGGAGAATGCTGAGGTCCAGATTGGGTCTCCATGATAGACAATGCAAAAAGCATGCCACATTCCAGCATTACTAATGTAAACAGCAGTTCTAAACACAGTTCAGGGTATACTCCTCATTAGGGAAGAGAGAGAAATTTGGTTCTGTTGATATTTTAATGCTAGTCTATCATAGCCACACTTTCCCAAACAATACATGAACCATTAAAAGAAAGGCTTATTCAAAATTCACCCTTCTCCGAATTTTGTGATGGACTTCTCCAATGCCCCCAAAGTGTTTATTAGGGGAAAATAAAACACAGCGCGAGTGGCTTGCCGATCAGAAGGTCGGCAGTTCGAATCCCCATGACGGGGTGAGCTCCCATTGTTCGGTCCCAGCTCCTGCCAACCTAGCAGTTCGAAAGCATGGCAAAGTGCAAGTAGATAAATAGGTACCACTCCAGCGGGAAGGTAAACGGCATTTCCGTGTGCTGCTCTGGTTTGCCAGAAGCAGCTTAGTCATACCGGCCACATGACCCGGAAGCTGTCTGTGGACAAACGCCGGCTCCCTTGGCCAGTAAAGCAAGATGAGCACCGCAACCCCAGAGTCGTCCGCGACTGGACTTAACGGTCAGGGGTCCCTTTACCTTTACCTTTAAAATACAGATATTCTTGACGATAATGTACAAAACTGCATTGTATTCAGGAGGTTTGCATAAATAGATGTGTATATTGGGAGAAATACCCATTCCAATGTTGTTGCGTATTTGATTGATGCAGAAACTTAAAAGTGGGGAAAAATGAGAACTGGGCAAACTCAAAACTGACAGATCTGCTCATCCCTACACTGGGACAGTGTAAGGACAGTGTAAGGAGAGTGTGGGACAGTGTAATGGAAGTGAGAGCTGGATCATAAAGAGGGCTGATCGCCGAAGAATTGATGCTTTTGAGTTATGGTGCTGGAGGAGACTCTTGAGAGTCCCATGGACTGCAAGAAGATCCAACCTATCCATTCTGAAGGAAATCAGCCCTGAGTGCTCACTGGAAGGACAGATCCTGAAGCTGAGACTCCAATACTTTGGCCACCTCATGAGAAGAGAAGACTCCCTGGAAAAGACCCTGAGGTTGGGAAAGATGGATGGCACAAGGAGAAGGGGATGACAGAGGACGAGATGGTTGGACAGTGTTCTCAAAGCTACCAGCATGAGTTTGACCAAACTGCGGGAGGCAGTGGAAGACAGGAGTGCCTGGCGTGCTCTGGTCCATGGGTCACGAAGAGTCGGACACGACTAAACGACTAAAGAACAACAACACTGGGACATGGTGGGACTTGCTTCTGAGTAAACATGCACAGGATTGCAGTGGCCATGCTTAATCCTCTGCTCCCATACTTGGGAGCAAACGTCACTGAGTAGGATTAGGCACTTGATCTGATTCTCCCCTCTAGCTGGAGTTATCAAGGGCACCTACTGACAAACGTCACTGGCAATGGACACGGTTTCCCTCCCCTGCCGTTGCCTGCACAACGCCTGCCTTCTAAAAAGGGCTTATTTTGCTTTAATTGTTTTGAATTCTTTCCAGAATATGCACATCACCATAGGCTGGATGTCACTCATGAAGCTCCTGAAAACAACAAGGGGAAATGTGGAGGCTGAGATTAAAGCGACTTCCTTCCCCAGCAGATAAAATAGAAATAAAAAATTCTGTAAATTCAGAAAACGTTTTCTTACTTTAAAAAAATAATAAATGTACAAGTTTGCCCTCACCACCTGGAAGCAAGCCACCCCTCTCCCGCCCTGCAGGTATCTCCCACCTGGTTGCACATCCACCGCATAAAGTGGGGAAAGGTTCTCCAGTTCATTGCAATGAACCCTTGCTTTGTTCTTGGCAGAGAGCTCTCCAGGTGGCGCTGTGGTCTAAACCACTGAGCCTCTTAGGCTTGCCGATCGGAAGGTCGGCAGTTCGAATCCCCACGACGATGGTGTGAGCTCCCATTGCTCTGTCCCAGCTCCTGCCAACCTAGCAGTTTGAAAGCACACCAGTGCAAGTAGATGAATAGGTACCGCTCCGACGGGAAGGCAAACGGCGTTTCCGTGCGTTCTGGTTTTCGTCATGGTGTCCCGTTGCACCAGAAACTGTTTAGTCATGGTGGTCACATGACCTGGAAAGCTGTCTGCACACAAACACCAGCTCCCTCAGCCTGAAAGCGAGATGAGCACCGCAACCCCATACTTGCCTTTGACTGGACTTAACCATCCAGGGGCCCTTTTACCTTTCTTCAACTGGGTGAAGGTCAGTCAGGTGTAATTGCTCCCTGTTCACATCTCTTACTAAACCTGCTCCACGAAGTGAGAAGGTCTTTCCAACAGAAATCAGGTCCCGCTTGCAGGTTTCCTGAAGGCATCTGGTTTGGCCACTGTGACGTTAACATATGAGAGTGCTGGAGGTGAAATAGTTAAACAAGTTACCCAATCAGAACCCAGGGGGTGGAGTCAGAGGGATTATAATACCAGCTCTGGGAGGGGCAAAGGGGGGAGTTTGTTGGGAGTTGGGTGGTTGGTGGAAGTGGGAGGGAATTGGGAGACAGTCTGTGGGGAGGTTGAGTGAGTGTAGCGAAATAAGCTGAGTCAGGAATAGTAGGGGCTAGGAAGACAAGTAAATATCTGAGAGGTGGTTTAGTGAGTGAGAGCAGATAGCGGAAGTTATAGGTCTGGATAGGCACCCCATGGGACGCGGGTGGCACTGTGGGTTAAACCACAGAGCCTAGGGCTTGCTGATCAGAAGGTCGGCGGTTCGAATCCCCGCAACAGAGTGAGCTCCCATTGCTTGGTCCCAGCTCCTGCCAACCTAGCCGTTCAAAGCACGTCAAAGTGCAAGTAGATAAATAGGTACCGCTCCAGTGGGAAGGTAAACAGCATTTCTGTGCACTGCTCTGGTTCACCAGAAGCGGCTTAGTCATGCTGGCCACATGACCCGGAAGCTGTACGCTGGCTCCCTCGGCCAATAAAGCGAGATGAACGCCGCAACCCCAGAGTCGGTCACGACTGGACCTAATGGCCAGGGGTCCCTTTACCTTTAGGCACCCCATGAATGTAATTGACCGATACCGTTTATGAAACCACATGCTTGTTAAACTGCAATAAATAAACAGAAGTTTATGTTCCAATTTAACCCTGACTGGACTCAGTATTGTACCAGGTAGGGCCTGGGTGGTGGCAGCAAGAAATAAAGTGGTGGCACAGGGATCAATAGATGGTGAAACGTCCGGGGACCCTGTGTCCACCCTGAGAACAGGATGCTGGACCAGGTGG